TTTGGCTATTGTCAAGTCGTTTTGGATTTACAGTCACCCTAAAGTGAACCTTATCCTGGGGTTTTCTTGGCAAGATTTGCCATGGCCTTCCTCAGGTTTGCCATGGCCTTCCTCAGAGGCCAAGAGAGTGTGACTTTCACAAGGTCACCCAGTCAGTTTCCATGGCCAAGCAGGGAATCGAACCTTGGTCTCGAGTCATAGTCCAACACTCAAACCACTAAGCCACGCTGTCTCTCAGTTATGGGAAAGAGGTATTGCTATCTGGAGATGCCCAGATGTGCCCCCCAAAAGGGACTGTGGACTGACCAGGTTCTTCTATCTTTTTCGCCAGCAGTGGTGAGAATGATGGAGATGATTTTGGACATAAATGGAAACCTCCAGAGCATGAACTGATCCTGAAACTGGTGGCCCAGATTGAGTACTACTTCTCGGATGAAAACCTTGAAAAAGATGCCTTTCTTCTGAAGCACGTCCGGAGAAATAAGATGGGATACGTCAGTGTGAAGTTGCTAACTTCTTTCAAAAAGGTAATTTTTTTTAAATAAATGGCTTCCAATATTAGAAACAACTGAAAAAGTGGGCGTTTAGGGTTTTTTTTTTTAGTAATTATCTGTATATCTCTTGAGTTTTCAAATGATTTTACTATGCTTTAGGAATGCTCTTCTAAATGAAGGTACAGATTTTAATGTGCAGTCTGGGTGTACATAGCAAAAGCTCCCCCTCTCCTAATTTTAATTGTAAATTTTTAAAAAATGTGAATTTAAAATTTAAACAGGAAGCGAATAGGAAATGACACACACACACACACACACACACACACACACAGAGTCATTTTCTGTTATAAAAGAAAGTTCTGGATTTTTCTAAATGGGCTCCTTTTTTTCTCACAGGTAAAACACTTGACCCGTGACTGGAGAACCACAGCTTATGCCCTGAAATATTCTGATATTCTGGAACTGAATGAAGACAACAGAAAGGTTCGGCGCAATACCCCCGTCCCAGTGTTCCCTAGCGAGAATCTGCCTAGCAAGATGTTGCTTGTCTACGACATCCACCTGACACCCAACCTCCATTCTCTGGAGGAAGGACAAGAAAATGGAGGTATTCAAGAGAAAGTTATGGAACACCTTCTTAAAGCCTTTGTCAAGTTTGGCATCATTGCATCAGTCCGCATCCTCAAACCCGGTAGGGATCTCCCACCGGATATCAAGAGGTTCAGTAGCCGATACAGCCAAGTTGGGACCAAAGAATGCGCCATCGTAGAGTTTGAAGAGGTGGACGCTGCCATCAAAGCTCATGAGTCCATGTGTCTACTGGACAACGAGACGAACATGAAGGTCATCCTCATCGGAATGAAGCCTCCCAAGAAGAAGGTCCTCAAAGACAAGAACCGTGATGGAGACTTCAGCAAGGGTCATTGCAAAACGCGATCGATGAATAAGAGGGTGGAAGAACTTCAGTACATTGGTGATGAATCTTCAGCCAACAGTTCCTCTGAGCCAGAGAGTAACCCAACCTCCCCCATGTCTGGGCGGAGAAGTAATGCTTCCAACAAACTGAGCCCGGCCACCTATCCAAACAATCACCTTAGCCCAAACTTATCTCCAAGATCAAGCCCTCGGACCAGCCCTTGTTCCTTACGTAAAGTCTCCAGGATGTCTCCTCTCGTGGAAGATGGACGACTCAGCTTGAGCACTAGCCCCGAGATGCCAAGGAGGTGTGCAGATTATTCGTCGGACAGTAGCCTCACCCCTTCCGGCAGCCCATGGGTTCAGAGGCGTCGGCAAGCACAAACTATCACACAAGAGAAAAGTCCAGTGGGTAGCCCCATGCAGAGTCCCAAAATGCAGAATTTAGTTGGATTACCTGTTGGAGTGTTGCGTTTACCTAAGGGTCCTGATGGGACAAAAGGATTTCTTAATGGACGCGAAAGGAATACGCCCATCCAGAATAAATAATCTTTGTGTTCATTCAGTCAGTGAATTACAATGGTCCCTCCGCATTCACTGGGTTAGGGGTGAAGGACTCCTGTACATGTGGAACAACTGCAAATTAAAAAACACTATTCTTTTCACCTAAGAGAACCCCTCTGTAGGAATCTCCAGGTCCTCCAGTGCAACTCTGTGATCAACATTTGCCAAACATTGATCATAGAATCATGTTGGAGGACCTACAAATGCCTAGAGAAGTGTTTTCTTTAGGAACTTCTATCTTCTCCAGCACAACTCTATGGTCAATCTGGCAGAGTTGCGCTGGAGGACCTAGAGATTCCTAGAGATAATATATTAATCAAAAACCGCAAATAATCAAATTCGCAAATGTGGAGGGCCAACTGTACTCCAATGTTGAGTTATTTCCAAGGACTTGGATCAAGGCAGTATTTTCATTTATTTTTTTATTTTTTTAAGCATTTGTACTTATTTGTACTTTTGTGGCTTTGTATGCTTGAGTTTTCACTTAATCTAGCTGTTGTCTTTATATATATTTTACTGTTTGTTTGTTTGTTTTTTGAAACTTCAACATGGATGCATTTTATGTTTGTTTTTTTTAATGCCAGGGATAATCAAACATTTTATGGAGGAAACTGTTTTATTGTTATTATTATTAGCAAAGTTCCATTCAGAAACTGCTAAGTGCAAATGTATTTAGTAGAGACAATTGTCTGAGTTGTACCAGTTCATCAAATGGTATGTTGAAGTGTCTCTTTGTTTTTGTTTTTATTATTTGGAGAAGGGATAGAGCTTTCAAACAAACAGTTTTTGCTTTTGCTAACATCTTGTCTCATGTCAAAAAGACCCTTCCTAGTCTGCAGTATGACCAAAAGGTGTATTTTTGCTGGTATAAATAAATAATATCAACATTTAAAATTGTCTCTAAGGCTGATCGGGTGGAAGGTTGGGCTGGTGACAATTAAGACCATGAAAGGTCTAATATGTTAAGATTTGGCCCTCTTTATAGAATTCATAGACCTGATGGTTTTCAAACTTTCGTTTCTGACTTATGACAATGCTGAAGCATTCCTATCACAGGGTTTTCGTGCCCAGATTTCTTCAGAGGAAGTTTGCCAATGCTTTCCTGTAAGGCTGACAGAGAGTGACTTGCTCATGGTCACCTACTGGCTTTCCATGGCCAAGTAGGGATTCGAACCCTGGTCCCCAGAGTCCAGCATACAAACCAGTGTGTATGTACTCACCACGAATGTGCAGAGAAGAAATCCATACCCTCACTCAAGACAAGTGAGTGCAATTTTATTTGTACACAAGTAGATGTGATACAGTTTGGCTGGATGGCTGCAATTCCTCCCTTATTGTTGCAGAACCCTTTGTCTCCCATATTGTTTATTTAATGCTGGATACAACTTTTTTTCCCCCATCACTTACAGCTCCTAAGGAACCTGTTGGTGACAGGACATCAGTCTGTGTTGGTGATGCCACCATTCACAATAGTCAATTGGCTCCAGGCAGAAGCCATTGTGAGATCATTGCCAGTATCTATGGAGAAAAATAAACCAGAGAGAGCCCAGTCCCCAACTCAAATCTGGGGAAGGGTGGGCTGAGAGCCAGACTAAATCCAACATGGCTTTCTGTTACAGGTAAGTGTGGAGACTGTCTGGTCCTTCACATGTTGCTTGACTCTAATGCCCATCAACCCCAGACATCATGGCCAATGGTCAGGGAGAAGATAGCCACAGCCCAGCAACTTCTGGAGGCTCCACAGCTTCTCCAACCCATTGATTTGATGACTCTTCTTTAATTGGAACTAACAAAAGGATTTAGGTCCTTGCGTGTATTTTTCAGAAAGAAGTTGGCCACTACCTGTAATGTTTTGTTGATGTTGTTGTGTAGTTTCATCTATGTTGCTTTTAACATGTTGTAAGCCACCTTGAATCCTATTACTGGGGGAAAGGAAGGAATAATGATCATAATCATAATATCATCTAAATAGTCATGAGGGTAATTTATTTCTTTTCAAAAGAGAGAGAGATTTAAAATGGAGAAATTAATAATAATAATAATAAATTTGATTTACATATTCCTTGTTAGGGTCATTGGTTTTCAAAAGAGAGAGAGATTTAAAATGGAAACCTTAACACGGCACGGTCTTTGTGGTTGTTGTTATGTGCCTTCAAGTTGTTTCTGACCTTACTTTGAAATGGTCTGGAGACTTTCTCAATAAAGAGTACTTTGTATTTAGTACTTTGCATGGGAAGAAAAGCAATTCCGTGTAAATTATACAAGCCTCCAGCCACCCTTGAATAGAAAGCTGACTCCCTTTTCATCCCTCTCCGTTCCACTGTGCAGAAATAATCTGTAGTATAGAAACATCAACCTCCTTCTAGGAGAGATCAAGTTCCATACTGGTTGCGAAAATTAAGACTTATGGCAATCCTAAGGCATCACAGGATTTATTTAATTTGGGGCATGATTTCTTCCAATTTCTTGCCCTCCTCTGAGGCTGAGAGACTGTGTCTTGCCCAATGTCACCTGGTGGGTTTCCATGGCTGAGCGTTGACTCGAACCATGCCCATAGTCCAGCACTCAAACCACTACACTATGCTTGGCTTACTTTGGAGTAAGCCTGCTAAGCGTTGAGACTGCATTGGCCACTTGGTTTTCTCCAGGGTAGCACTGAAGTAGTTTCGAACCCTGCTCCAGAATCATAGTCCAACGCTCAAACTGCCAGACTATGATGGCTCTCTGCATTATCTTAGCATGTTGCTTTGTTCTTCCTAGACCATGCATGCCTCCCTATGCCATCGCCCCAGACTACAGCCTTAACCGGCCGGTCAACCTCTACATCCCCAGCCCTGTGAGTATGGCTCCTTCTCATATTATTTCTTGATGTAAGTAAGCTGCAGCTCCAAGACTAGATTACTAGGCAATGGATTCCATCCATATGGGGCTGCCCTTGGCAACGTTTCACAGGCTTCAGTTTGTGGCTCGTGTCCAGACAAGCTTGAAGCCAGAGGCTGGCAAAGCTCCTTTTTTGGACTGCAATGTGAAGATGTTGCTTGGGATTCAGCATGGGCCTTACATCCCCACATGTGCGGGAAATAGGACTGAGTAATTTCCCAACATCAGTATTCACCTAGGGCAGTGGTTCCCAAACTTTGGTCCTCCATATATTTCGGATTTCAGCTTCCAGAAGTCCTGTCTGCTGTCCATGCTGGCCAGGGCTTCTAGGAGTTAAAGTCCAAAACACCTGGAGGACCAAAGTTTGGGAATCACTGAC